CTATTCTATTCTATTCTATTCTATTCTATTCTATTCTATTCTATTCTATTCTATTCTATCTCTCCAATGCAGGGAGGAACCAGGCCATTTAGCAGCCTCCTTGCAGGTGAGTGGCCCCACTGGGGTCTGTGTGGGGAGGAGGAAGGGAGGGAAACGGGGGCTTTGAGGTCCAAGGACCAATTGATGGTGAAGATGCTTTGGGAAATCCCTCTTCTCTCTCCTGTTCATCGCAAGCGCTGCAAGGGGAGGAATTTGGGGGAGATCCAGTGGGGCTCTGGGAAGGGGGGGCTCTGCCTGCCCCCAAACTCTTGTCCTGCAAGGCCAGACTGTGGCCCCTCTCAGGATCTGACTCTCTTGGATCAGGAGGCTCAGAGAGCTGCAAAGAGGAGATTGGTCAGAGAATGACGGAGCAGCTGTCCAGATGAAGTCAAAAGACACTGACACAAACTTGTAGTTTAGATAATATACAAATATATTTAACATTTATAGTTGCAGCAGACAAGATAGTCAGGAACATCGTGAGGTAAATCAAACAGCACACAGAACACAGAGAAGAAAAAGGCGGGAAAAAAGGGGAACTCCCCCTTTATACCCACAGCAACCAATCATAGCGTGGATTGCCTCATGCAGAAGCCAGCCCAACCAATCAGCTCTTCCCCCATTGGACACTTTCCTGTTGCAGTTCCTGAATTTGATATCCTAACAAGACTGGGGGGTCCCCAGTGCAGGAGGAAAAGGGGGGCAGATGAGGGGCTTCTTGAGGCTCCTGCAGTCATGGATGGAGAAGGGGCTTCTCTCCACTCCTTGGAGCCCTCTGGGATTCCCTCCCTCCAGAGGCTGAGGGAAGACATGGAGGGGGAGCATAGGGATCCGTAGGTCTCCGGAAGCAACACGGACCAGTATTGGATTCCTGTATTTGAGGGGGGACATGGATGTTATCTAACTTGTGGGGCAGGTTCTCAGCCGCCTCTGAAGCCAGTCCCAGCCCTGCCTCTCCCTTCTTTCTACCTTGGAAAACCCCACCCAGCTGATCCCTCTCTTGAGGAAGCCGCAGTTCTCATGAGTGGGATCAGCTGGGCCGATTGGTGCTGATCCCTCAGTCTGGGCGGTGGGATTCCTCCTCTTGGCTCCCTCCCAGATTGACTCTGCCTGCTTTTTCCCTCTCTTGGCAGCACAAGTGGACAGTCCCAGCATGAGGAGAGAGGAGAGGAGATCAGCTTTCTCCTGAATTAGGCCGGACTCTCCGGAGGAGCCTTTCAGGCCCATCCTGCATGCCTGGAACCAGGATGTATTTGGGGGTCTTTTGCCTTTGCTTTTACCATTGGATCAGTATCCTTTTGTATTAGGATTGAGGAACAGAGGAGAAAAGAACATCTTACATGTTTATAATTGTGGAATCAAAAAGATTCAAACTGTGATTAGTAGATATTATTTTATTTTTTATTTATTTCTTTCCTGCTGAAGGCATTGAAGATATCCAACACACCTTTTCCTCCTATTTTCCCCACAACAACCACCCTTTGAAGTGGGTTGGGGGGTCAGAGCGAATGACTGGCCCACCCAGCTGCCTTTTGTGGCTCAGGTGGGACTTGAACTTAGAATCGCTTTCTAACCTGGTGCCTTAACCACTACACCAAACTGCCTTGTCTAGCTTGTAATAGCTTTGTAATGTAGCATGTAGCAACTATGTTGTTGTTTCTGGTGACTTTTAATGGGTTTCTGGTGATTAACAGGTTTTAGAAAAGGGCCCATAGCTAATGGGGCGAGGAATAGGATGAAGAATTTTACTTTAAGGGAGAAAGGGGGGAAAGCTGGTTATTTGCTGGCTTTGCTCCCTGTTTTTTAAAGGGGAGACTAAGAACGACCTTCAGACAATCCCGCACAGAGAGAGAATCCGGTTGCCTGCAATTCTTGGGAAGGAGATCAGAAGGTCTAATCTTTCACCATCCTTTCCCTTCAGCTGCTCGGCTTTCTTAAGCACATCTGGGTTTTCATTGCACTTCTTGAAGCTTTACAATTTCTTGATTAATGACTAGTTCACTTCTGACCTATTTTATAACCTGTACTTTTATGTTTTTTTATTGTTTACCATTAAATTCAAATTATTATTTTTTAATTGTAAGAAAGTTGCAATGGACTTTACGCTTACACAGTATTATATTATAAATCTTGCTCTTTCTAGCTTTTTTCTTTCTTTTTAAGAGCCTTGATATTTAAATCTTAATTTTTTATGGAAAAATTCCCCTTTTTAAAAAAAATCTGGGGGACAAAAACCTTTTTCCTGTGGAAACTGTTGCTTACCTCCTTCTCTTGTCCTTGAAGAGAAAACAAAAGGTGTTTTTCAAGTCTTCCAAAGGTGATAAATTATTTTGGGAGATAAAACTGAAAAAAGAATGTTCTCCAACTTACAGGTTTTATTTCAAAATACAAACAAAAAAATTCATGGGTCAAGAACAGTTCTGAAAAATCAAGACAATATGCAAAAGCAGGAAATATCAGCTGGACCTGATTTGCAATTGGAAGACTTGGTGTTTAATTGGTCACCGTCACATCCAAAGAAGTATTTGGTTTGTCAGAACAGATAAAAACCAATATGAATAGAAGAAACTCTTGACGAATAGATAGGACGAAGGATGGACTGGATTTTCTTGGCAAGAGAAATGCTGTGCTGTTGAGGAGAATTATTCAACAATGTATCTGGCAGAGATAGTTACAAGAGATTTATGAACTTTGGAAATGAGATGCAATTGTTGGTAAAGTTCCTAATTAAAAACCTAAGGAAAGGTTTCACAATTAAGAACCAAACACAAGGATTTAACACTGGACTCAGAGATAATGATTGAAGTGGTTTGTGATAAATAAGGAACCGTGTAGACTTTCTGTGAATAAATTATAATAACAGACTGTTAATAGTTCTTTGAATTTTAACTTTGCTGTTGTTCAACTATTAATTGTTTTTCCTTTCACATATATACTCTATGACAGGTCAGTTAGGTTGCAAATAGATGTACAAGATTATAAACTTTGGACCTCTTTTGCAAGAAGGGAAGCTATTATTGTTGCAATAGATTTCTGAGTGTTCAACTGGAGGGCATAATATGTCCTTTTCTTTCTTTTTAATTATTTTTTCAATGTTTTTTAGTTTTTTTCTGTCTCTGTTCAACCCTTTTCTTTTGGATTTTAATCTTTTGAATAAAATAAAATGGTCAATTCTAAGAAAAATGGAACAGGAGATTCACAGTTTGGCCTGGCTGCTTCCCCACTAACCATTGCACACATACTGTAAGAATAGCAACATTGTTTTCTGAAAATAAATGGTTTTCATTTCTTCTCATCTGAGTTGCTGCCTCTTGTTGGAAGTTGGGAATAGCAAAGATTTTTCCCTCTTTGTTGCTCAGAGACTCCAATTTCACTCTGAGTGGGAAGAAGAGGAGAAACCAAGGCAAAAACTGGGAATGGGGGACTCCTATGTGCTCTTTGGGGAGGAGGCAGCCATTTTGCCCCCGTGTCCAGATGTTTTTCCAGCATCACCAGCTGATCTTCTGTAAAATGGTTCTTTTGTCTTGGCTTGGTGGGGGCAGCAACAGAGGTTGCTTTCCCCTCAAATCCTCCTTTGCCTCAGGCTGTTGGCCAAGTGGCTGGTTTCTGGGCCTCATCCAGTGGCTCAAGGAGACAGGAGTTCAGTGACCGGCCAGAGCCATCCTGGTCCCCTTAAATAACAAGGATTTCCCCCTCCGTGCTGTTCAGAGACCCTGATGTCACTTTGAGAGGTAGGAAGGGGAGGAACCAAGGTAAAAATTGGGGGAGGCTCCAGTGTGCTCCTTGAGGAGGAGGCAGCCATTTTGCTCCTGTGTCCAGATGTTTCTCTTCCCTCAGGCTCTTGGCCAAGTGGCTGATCTCTGGGCCTCACCCAGGGGCCCTTCGGGAGACAGGAGGACAGTGACCGGCCAGAGCCTTCCTGGTCCCCTTGCAGAAGGGCAGTTTCTCCTGCTTCTCACGGATCCTCTCCTGGCTCTTCAGTTGCCCAATAAGATCAGTGGCCCAAGAGTGGGGAGACCCCTGATTGACGGGAGAGATGTCCCCCATATTAAAGATAGTCCTCAGTTTACGACCCAAGAGTCTGAACCCAAAATTTATGTTGCTAGGTGAAAAATGTGTTGTGAGTTTTGCCCCATTTTACAAACATTCGTGCTGCAGTTGTTAAGTGATTCACTGCAGTTGTTAAATTAGTAACTTGGTTGTTAAATGAGTCAGCTTCCCCATTGACTTTGTCAGAAGGTCACAAAAGGGGATCACATGACTCTGCAACCGTCATAAATGTGAATCAGTTGCCAAGCATCTGAATGTAAACCACGTGAGCATGAGGATGCTACAATGGTCATAAGTGTGAAAAATGGTCATACATGTTTTTTTCAGTGCCGTTGTAACTTTGAAGGGTCAGTAAATGAACTGTTGTAAGTTGAGGAGTGAAAGGGGGGTCTTTCACCCCAATGTCCTTTGGGGCTTCCCAGATGCCCTCAAGGGCTCCCATCTTTGAGAGTCTGAAAAGGGCACAATTTAAAGCTGGCGTCTCCAACCTGCAACATGAGAGTCACATTCAGCCTTGGAAAGCTAATAATGCAGCCCCACAAAATGTTATGTTACAATAAACAATAGAAAAATAATAGAAGTATATACTAACTATATTATATAATTTGTACAGAGCCCAAGACAATTCCTTTTCACTCAGTGCTTCCCAGGGAAGCCAAAAGGTGGGACAAGGCTGCTTTAAAGCATTAGGTGAAAATTCACTCTGTATTTGAGCGCCTTCTGAATCAAAAGTTTTAGAAATATATTTATTTATTAGACTCCTCTCCATCTTGAAAATGCCACAAGAGCCTTTGAGCATTTTTATCCAGAGCGAAGAATACTTGGAGTTTCTGACCTGACACAACCATATTTTAAGAGACTTTTGGAAGGATATCAAGCATGGCTACCACAGCAGAAAAGGCCCATCTCCTGGGTCCCACTACAGGTGAGTCCTAAGAGCCAAGGCCCACAACAGAGGCCCAAACCAAGCATGCTGTGAAAAATACGGCTCAGGTATTCACACAGAAAGTGTGCTATTTACAAGCAATGTCTGTGATTTTTTTCACAGGATTAGTGTTCACATCTGGTCAATTATATTTGTCTTTTTGTGTACAAGATTACATTTGTTGTACGTAATACAAGAGAGCAAAACCTTCCAATCCTATCATTGTCAGGAATCGCCTAGCGCAGGTCTGTAGTTTGTCTGTCTTTGTCTTCCTCACAACAGAGCAGAGAGGGAGCTTAGGCAATCCAGTAGGTAATTTGATCAGTTCCAGCTTTCGCTAGCTTGTTTCTACATAATTTGATTAATTTCTGGCTGGCTTGATGCTTAAAACAGCATTTGAGACTTTTCTTCTGATGGGATCGTTTTTTCCTTCCCCGCTTTGCGAATTGAGAAGAGAAACATCAAACCAGCAGAGGGCGCCATTCTCCAGCTCATCCTGTTTCCAGAAATTCTTAGGGCTTTGCTGAGACTCTCCTTATTTGAAAGATTTTCAAAGATTTATATTCCTTTATGTTCTATATTTGACATTCTTGATCTGTCTAGCTATCCCTTCCTCTTACCCACAGACGGGGCCTAATTTCCACTCTGTACATGCTCAGTGGAAAGGTGACTGCAGAAGAAATGAGATGATTTAAGCCCTGAAAGGACAGTTGAATGTTTCTCATACTTTGTTCATCATAGGAAATGTAAAATCAGCTGAATTTGGGGATCATAATAACAACTGTAATCGGAAGAGGGATTTATTATTTTAGTCCAAGGATTCTCCAGAAGAACCGCCAAAGGAAGAGCAGCCATTTTAGTTTATGGTAGGAAAAGGGAAGAGTCTGAAGCTTCCTAAAGATTCATGGCTTCACCAGAGAAGAAAAGGAAACAGGGAAGGTATATACTGTGTTTGATCTGTCTGGCATTTTTCCCTAGAAAGAAAGAAATATCTTCGTCTTGAAGAGGCCACAGAAAAGCCTTTGAGCGTTTTTATCCAGAGCGAAGATCCTTTGGGGAGTCTGAGGTAAAACACAGAATCATAGGACTAGAAAGGACCTCGGAGGTCTCCTAGTCCAACCCTCAGATCCAGGCAGGAGACCTAATACCACCCAAGCCTCACATGTCTCCATTTTTCAAAACTTCCAGTGAGGCAGGCCTCACAATTCCAGGATGTCAGCTATTCCATTGATTGATTGTTCCCACTGTTAGAAAATGTATGTTTCTAGGTTGGATTTCTCTTTGACAAGTTTCCACCCATTACTTCATGCTGCCTGGTGCTTTGGAGAAGAGGTCAATCCCTTCTACTCTGGGACAGCCCCTCAAGGGCTGGAAGACAGTTATGACACAAACACCTCATCATCTCTGTTGCTCCTCCCTGCGCTCTTTCCAGGGTCTCCGCGTCTTTTTGGAATCCTGGAGACCGGAAGTGGATCCAGCACTCCAAGGGGGGGGGCTCCCTTGGGCACCATGAAACGGAAGTCTCATTTATCGGGTTCTCTTGGTGTTTTTCTCCCTCTGTTTGATGCCGCCCAAGACTGCACTGTCTCTTTTCATGCGAGGGGCAGTGCGGGATCTCCCCTCCCCCTCGCCTGCGCCCTCCCCCCAGGGCCATATTTACTTCCTACTTTTCCCCGCCCCCCCCCCCCCGTTCCGCCCCTCCCCCCAAGAGGCGGAATCCCTGGAAGGGAATTTCCTGATGAAACTTTCGCTTTCCTTTTCCCTCCTCTCTCGCCGGTTCCCCTTGGACGTCTGCCTAGCGACAATGACGACATGGGGATACTTTTTTTCTACTGGTTGAGCTTGGCCAATCGCCGGCTTCCTCTGGATTGTTGCGCTGTTGCTCACATGGGGCGTGTCTTACTCTTCCTTCCAGGAAATCCGAGGGCTGCTTGAGGATCTCGGACAGGATGGCTCTGCGCTCTGCGCCCCTCTGGGTCCTGGTGCTGCTGGCGGTCGCCCTACGGGAGAGCTGCGTTGGTGAGTCCCTTTGGGGCCTTCGAGAGATCCGGCCCCTTTTCCTTCCAGGGACTCTTTCTCTCTCCCCCCAAAAAAAGTTTATTCCCAGAAATAGAATCCTGGTTCGGTCCTCTTTCCAGTCCGCTCCCCTTCCCCCCCTGTAGCCACTTAAATATTAGGATGGGGCTCTGCTGCTGCCTCCCCCCCCATCCAGGAGAGCCCCTCTGGGAACAGGAGAAGGGTGGGCCCTCCAGATGTCAGTCAAGTCTACCTGGGCGCCCCCAAGCGCAGTTCTTTCCCTCCCCCGAAGTGGCGATTGTCGGAAAGGAGCGTTTGCAGGGGATCAGGGCAGTTCCCGAACTTCCTGGCTGCCTTCGCCCAACCCCCCTCCGCCTGGGTCGCCTTTCCTGCCTTTGGGGGGCTTTGGGGCTCTTTGGGGCTTCTGGCGCTGGGAGGACCCGGCTGGTTTCTCTAATCGGATCCGTGTCTTGGCAGATGCTGGTGCAGTGGAGCGATGGGGCCAAGGTTGTCCTGTGAATGCAGCAGGATGAGAGTCTGGAGAGAAGCCCTTCTTAATAATCTCCCTAAATATTCCTCCTTCCTGATTGTCACTTTCTCCTGATCCCCACCATCACTAGATGGTCCTAAATCCCTAATATCCCCAGAGCTTTTTTGTGGGACAGGCAGAGATTTGCCTCCCAAGAGGTTCGTTCTTTCATTTCAGAAGGTCCCGACATGGGGCAGTTTGCAAAATATTTAAAATATTTACAATGTATTATTATTCCTTAGTAATCAGGAACTTGGGGTGTTCCTGGCTGTTTGCTCTGAGAAATCAATATAGCAACTTCTCAAAAGACATTTTAAAAAATTGGCAGAAACTTAAGGATTAAATAAGCTGGTTTGGAGGTAAAAGGAGAGAAGCAACTCTGGATGGTGACCATGAAATGAACCACTTCTTTGGACACAGACTGGCCCAAACTCACCGGCCGTTCCTGACACATTCACCATTGTGAGGAAGCCCAACCTGAGTTGCATTCACACATTTCTCCTCTCAGGCAGACTTCAGATTTCCTCACTGCTCAGCCCCACAAGGGGAAGAAGCCGGTTCTGGATCTCGGAGAGTCCGATTCCCCCTCCTTCTGTTAGAGAAATCCCTTTTGGATTCCGAAATCTCCCCAGAGCAGGAAGTGGGTCTGGGATCCCTCTCCCCAAAAGCTCTGAGAGGCCCCCGGGATTGTGGGGAGAAGCAGGAAGAAGGAGGCCCAGGCCTTTGCCTTGGACTGGGAAGGACTGGGAGGCCATACTGGAGGGAATGGGCAGTGGGACTACAGGCAGTCCTCAACTTACAACAGGAGAGCACCTGCTCCCCCTAAATGGAAAAAGGCACCTAGAAAACCTCTTGAAAAAAGCAAATTTGTGTGCCAAGCCATCGAGGTCCCCAACCCCCAACAAACAACAGGGGAGGGAACTCTGGCAGCAGGAGTCCCCATCCTGCAAGACAGTGAAAAAGAGGTAAGTGGAGCCATTCTACCTTTTAAAATTGAAGGGACATTAACCGTTACATGCACGGGCTTAAAAGGGCCCATAAACATTATCATTGACACCGGTAGTTCGCAGTGCCTTATCAGTCCCGAGACTGTGCGTAGGCTAGTTATAGAAACAGAAATGTTAACTACCCCCATTCGATTCCAACAAGTAGATGGATCCATGATAGGGGGAAGTCCAGCTACGCAAGTCACCGAAAAAGTAAAGCTAACCATAGGGGAACACTGGGAAATAATCCGATTCGTAGTAGTCCCAAAGGCGACCCAATCAGTAATCCTGGGTCTTGCCTGGCTAGACGAATGGCGGCCAAATATAAGCTGGGAGGGTAGCTATAGGAGAATCAAATTAGCACTTGGTCCTGCGCCACGTCCATTATCAGCCCAGAAATACAAAAAAGCCAGCTGGATAGAACAGTATCATTGGCTGATCAACTCCCAGGGATTCCCAAAATCCCAATCTAGTACCTTGATCTGGTTCCATTTTTCAGTGAGGAAGAATGCAACGTGCTACCCCCCCCCCTCCATCACAACACTGACTGTGCCATAGAGTTTATAGAGGGGGCGAAATTACCAAAACCCCAAATGTACTCCATGACTCCTAAGGAAATGAAGGAGCTACGAGACTACATAGACACAAACCTAGCCAGAGGCTTCATCCAACTTACAAAATCCAGAGTGGCTGCCCCTGTACTATTTAAAGAAAAAAAAGATGGGGGGGTGGTTTTCATCTTTGTATTGATTTCAAGGGGCTAAATTGCATGAGTATTCACAACACATACCCCCCCTACCACTCATGAAAGACATGTTAGAACACTTAGCGAAAGGGAAAGTGTCTACCAAATTAGATCTCTGTGAAGCCTATTACGGAATCCGCATCAAAGAAGGAGATGAATGGAAGACTGCTTTCAACAACCCCTTAGGCAGTTTTCAGTTCAGAATAATCCCATTTGGGTTACAAGGAGCCCCAGGAGTCTTCATGCAGCTCGTAAATGGAGTCTCACATCAATATTTGTATAAAGGGGTCCTGGTCTACTTGGCTGACCTTCTCATTTACAATGAAATTCTAGAAGAGCACATCAAGTTAGTGAGAAAAGTATTAAAAAGACAGTTAGAGGCAAAACTGTATGTGAAGCTATCCAAATGCGAATTCCATAAAGAGTCTTTGGATTATCTTGGCTACCGCATTTCAGCTCAGGGGATAGAAATGGATCCAGTCAAAGTGAAAGCTGTCCTGGATTGGCAACCCCCAAAGAATCGCAAACAGCTGCAAAGCTTCCTGGGATTTGCAAACTTCTACTGGCAATTTATCTCCTCATTTGCAGAAATTGCATTACCAATAACAGAATTATTGAAAACCGGGAGTCGGGGGGGGGGGGGGGCAACCAAGGCAAAACCCGGACAGCCCCTTAAATGGACTCTAGAATGCCAACAAGCTTTTGAATGGTTAAAAAGGCATTTCGCACAGGAACCCATTCTAAAACACTCTGACCCAGCATTGCCTTTTATAGTGCAAGCAGACGCTAGCGACGTAGCAGTGGCAGCAGTTCTACTCCAGAAAAATGATAATGGAGATCTGCAACCCTGTGCATATACGTCCCAAAAACTCACAGACACTGAAAAAAGGTGGGTTGTATGGGAAAAAGAAGCTGATGCGGTTTGTTGGGCTTTACAAACTTGGAGACAATTTTTAGAGGGCAGTGCCATTCCATTCGAAGTGTGGAGAGACCATAAAAACTTAGAAGCTCTAAAAACACCCAGGAAACTCTCTCCTACACAAGTTAGATGGGTTCAATACTTCAAAAGGTTCAATTTCCAATTGAAGGACCTCCCAGGGGGAAAAAAATCTACTAGCAGACGCGTTGTCTAGGAAGCCCCTATTCGACAGTATATCATAGTTTTAATTCTTTTAGTGTCTTTTGGCATTGTCTCTTGTTCTCCATGTCTGTCTGAGGCTCTTCTTCCTTTAACTCCGCCTCACTGGAATTTCTTCGTTCTTCAACCATCGCCATTATTTTCTTTTCCAATATTTCCAATAGTTCCCTTCTTTCTTTCAACATTCCTTTGTTTTTTATTTCGTTTGTTAATCCTTCTGTCTCTTTGTCACAATCAACACACAACAGTCCCAGGAAATTGTATTTGTATATCCTCTTGGTAGAATTTATCCCCCTTTTTTCAAAATTTCCGGGGTTTTTATTAATTTATTTGTCTTTTCTTTCATAAAGTTATAAGTCCAGTAATTTTCCATATAATTTTATAGGAAAAAAATCTTTGACCATTAGATGGCGCTCTGTATCACTTTCCACTTTTTAAAGTTCTTTTCTTTTTTCTTTTAGTTATATTAAACAATAATTTCCAACCATTTCCACAATTAATTTTCTTAATATTAACCAATTCCAGGCAAGTCCAGCATTTAATCCAATGCCTAGTTAATGCCAATTTATATCATTCAAAGTTTAGTCTCTAGTTTCATTGTGGCTTTTTATGAACCAATTTTGTTTACTTTATATTTTCCTCTTTTTTTTCTGTTAGCCGCTGTGTTACTCTTACGCAAGGACACTCAGAGTTATTAAGAAAAAAAAATCAAGTTCTTTTATCTGGTTGCACGACGCTCACCACTCCACCGCTCCAACACAAAACTTAAATCCCAGCAGCTTTCCGTCTTCAGGGCAGCCATTTTAGGCTTCCATTTCTCCTTGTCTTCCAGGGGAGTAACACCTAGCCAGGGAGGGGAGATGCGGCTCCCCTCGACCCAGCTGGCGGTCTCCCCCTCTTCGCCCACCCCTCCGAGGTGAGTCAGGATGACACTGGTCCCATAGGGACCCTTCCGACAAGGGAAACACGGACCCGAGCCACGCACAATCGCAGTCTGTCCGTCGTCAACGGAAGCGCCACTGGAAATCAGTGTCGCTGTAACGTCAAACAGTCACTAAATGAACTTTTGTAAGTAGAGGACTATCTGTATACTACATTACAGTGCTTTACAGCCCTCTATAAGCGGTTTACAGAATCAATCTCCAACCATTCTGGGTCCTCAGTTTACCGACCTCGGAAGGACGGAAGGCTGAATCGACCTTGAACCACTCAAGATCAGACTTCTGGCTGTGGGCAGAATTAGCCTGCAATGCTGCATTCTAACCACTGGACCACCACAGCTCAAGGTATGGGGTTGAGCCCCACTGACTCCTGGGTTCAAAACCAATTTCTGTTCAGATGCCTGAACTCTGGGACGTGAGGGGGGAAGAGGAAGATCCGGAAGGCTTCATTGCTGCTCCCTTTCCTTCCCCCTTTGCCTCCCAATATCCCCCAGGCAAGTAATTGGGTTTCCCTTAAGGATCCTGTGCAGAGGTAGTATTCAGCCAGTTCGCACCGGTTCTGGCAACCCGGTAGCAAGAATTTGGCATGGGTTGTGGAACTGGTAGCGACTTCTGGCTGGCCACGCCCCCGAATCGATTCCCCAGTCGCTCAGTTGCCCCAACC